CACAGTTTCAAAGAAATGGGGCAAACGTTCCTGGGGCAGTGAGGACAATGGACCCTTGCAGGGGATTTCCTACTGGGAAAGGTTGAGGAGCTGAGTGTGGCTCTTAACGAGGTTCAGTAGGTAGAGGAGAGGTGTCCAGTGTGTGAAATGCACAGCAATGGTGCCCCAGCGTATGCCTACTCTGCGCTCTCCTGGCATACACGAGAATTTAAATGGTGGCATTCAGTGCTACATCCTGGATGTCTAAGATTTGCTCTGAGAAGGCAGCTGACTTTGTCCTGCAAGTATTCATATGCAGGTCACCAACAAAGATATCTTCAGGGTCAAGCAATCATGCTGTCATGTGCATGTAGATATTCTTATATATCATAGCACAATAAGTACAACCTCTTTAACATGCAGTTTAAAAGACAGATAAAATACAGGGTGTACTTCAAAAAATTACAAATTCCTTCATACCAACTAGATGTCTTTATGACAACATTTCAGAGCTTATTTGGCTGAGAGTTCTGCGTTGGCGGGATAGGGTAGCCTGTTGCTATCCAGGCACGGTTTTAAGATAGATGGCAAAAGTACCAGCAGATAGCATATGACAAGTAGGACAAAGTACCAAACTAAAGCCAGGATTACAGCTCTAGAAAGGACATGGGCTCTTGGCGTCTCAAGGATGGAAAACTAGGGTTAGGGGCTCGGCAGAAGGGTCTGATCAGGGCCGAGCCAGGACCCAGGGACCCACATGTGGGTCTGTAACTTGTGAGGCAAGCAGGGTCAGCGGTGACCAGGGAAGGCTTAATCCTCAGCCTTCTAGCCCTCATTTTCCAGCAGCTTTCAGGAGGTAGCGGGCTTGAGCCTGGATAGCACAAGGGATGCAGGACACAGGAGCGAGGAAACAGAGGCCAGCAGAGGCTGCAGAGGAGGCCAGGCCCTTCCCCATCAGATCTGATTCTGGGGTCGTCTCAGGCCGAAGGCAAAGCAGCTTTGCTGCACACGGATCTGATGGAAGACACATGGACGTCTTGAAGGATTTACAGATCTTGTTGCCAGTGAAATTCAAGAGCTAACCAGGAGATGAAAGGAGGTGTTACTTTGCTCCTGAAACCAGCCACTGAACTCTAAGTACAGTGGTTACTGCCCTGCATAGGAGACATTTTTAAAACTGCGGCTGTGTGAACCACATGTGAATCTCTGTGAAGAAAGGTGAGGCTGAACCGTTGACATCTTTTTAAAGATTTATGCATTAGGAACTTATTTCATCCTTATTTTCTGTGATTTTATTATTTAACTTTTAAATTTAATTTGTACATGTCTATAGTATGGTCTCTAGTTATATCCATTTACCTATGGCTTTATTGAAAGAAACAGTTATTGTTTAATTCTTTGATCAATCTTACCTGCCTGTTGTTTATCTGAGTAACCAATTTGAAGATATCAACACATGATACAACAACCGTTGTTAATTTCCTATCACCTTGTCTGAAATTGTGTATTGCCTTTGTTATTCGGTAAATGTATGTGTGTTTGTTAATCTGTTTTCATTCTTTGATCTTTAAAATAAAAAAATAAAATGTAAATGTCCATGGTAAGATGGACTCTTCACTATAAATGAGATATAAATCATTATTACACTCCTGCTCTGTCCTATTAGAGATATTTAATATAAAGTATGAATGACTATAAGACAAACGCCTGTTCTTCCATCATCCCGTTCCACTTCACAGAGACAGGAAATATATGGAAAAGTTCCCAAAGCAGGAATGTATAGCTGCACCCGCAAATCGTCCCCATATAAACCCACTTCAGTCCATGTCACCTAAATGAAGAGCCAGAGGACGGCCCTGGCCCAGGCCTGGAGCTATCGAGTCTCCATCTCATTCCCTCCTTGCAGCCGTGTAAAAAGGTTCACAGGTACCGGTAATGGGACGCACCATTGTCTGTCTTCTTTTTGACCTGTTTTCCTCATATATTACTTTCATGGAAAGAAAAGATTTTGGGCATGAGGATTATTAGCATCTCTGGGATAATAATGTTGATGAATATTTTGAGTACTATAGGTACATTCACAGGTTATTGTAAACTATATTGTGGCAACAAGTTTTCAAACTTCATTTCATTCAATCAAGGAATTTAGCTTTATGTGTACAAAAACTGTTAAAACTTCTCTCCCCTGCTAACTGACCACAGAAAGTTCTTTCTCTTTGCTTTCAGTAGTGATCAGGAACAAGGTGTGTTGTCTGCCACTTGGGCTACTACTCAGGAAGCCTAAGTTCTCTATGGCAAAGGATGGGGACTGTGTCTCCAGCCCACTTACGTGTAGTTCTTAGAGATGAAGTAAACCCGGGAGAGCAGAGGGCTGCCTGGTCCAGGAGGTGGAGGAAACAGTGACAGTCAGAGAAATGCTTTGGCCTTGGGGTCTTTGAAACGACTGCAAAACACCCACTGGAGGGTCCATTATCCACCACGCCCAGGGAGCTAAAAAGCCGACTCACAAACTAGCAAGGGAGCAGCAAGAACTTCTCTACCGATACCCGTCAACCCTAGAACAGCTATGGCCTGACTCAGTGTGGGGTGACCGGGCGGGTGAGGGACAGAGGAACAGAAGGTCTACAGAGGAAAGAAAGACTCCCAGGACCTCTCTTCAGTAAGTTTTTACTTTTCTTCTTCCTTGTGGAGCTGGGCTGACACCCAGGGCCTTGTACCTGCTAGGCAAGTATGCTACCACTGAGCTGCATTCCTCACCCCAGGGGATATGATTCAACTTGAACAGAAATTCAAGTGAGTGTGTGTGTGTGCGTGGGTCTGTTACTCACAATGACTTGAGGTCTTTAATAAAAACCTTAAGTATAACTAGAAAGTCCTAGGGCCTGCTTGAATTTTCATCCATGGATATTTAAATAAACTACTAGGCTCCAGGCCAGGTTCGGTTGGGCAGTAGCAGGAACGATAAGATTGTTATCTGATTACATCTGTTTATCCGGTGTAATGGTTTTGTTGATGGATTGGCTATGCCAGTCACTCTACGTGGACTCCCATTCTACCGTGCCACCTTCGTTTTGGTGAGACAGACCTGGGAGAAGGGTCCCTAGCAACAGCAAGGGGTGTGTGCTGGGGGAAAAGTGTTATGATTTAGACATGGACGGCCTCCAAGAGGCTCATGTGTTCAGAGGTGGAGCTATTGAGGGGGTGGACCCACTGGGCGCTGCAGAGATCCATGGATTAATACACGGGTGAGCTCAGACCTGCCCGTGGGGTGAGCTCAGACCTGCCCGTGGGGTGAGGAGGTGGGGCCTAGCTGGAGGTGGGTCCTGGGGGGCACGATCTGGAGAGCAGATTTCTCTCCCTTACTCTTACTTCTCTCTCCACTTCCCTGCCCCTATGAAACCAGCAGCTTTCCTCTGCCTGGCCCTTTGCCATGTAGTTTCCGTGTTCAAATCAGCCAACCATGGACTGGAACTTCTAGAACTGTGAGCTGAAACCACCCTCTTTCCTCCAGTTGTGGGTGTCAGGAATTACATCCTAGCAAAAGAAAAGTGACCAAGACAGAGATAAAAGTGAAAACACTGCCGACTTCCAAATGGTCACTCACCCACCACCACTTCTCAGTCAGCCCTAGGACACTTGGCGGATGAGTGTGTCGGTCAGTTTTGTGTTGCTGTGACGGGATATGGGAGAAGAGCTACCAAAAGGAGGAAACACTTACTTTAGCTCACAGTTTCAGAAGTTTGAGCCCGCGCTCCCTCTGGTTGCTGCTCTGAGACTGTGGTAAGGCAGAGCTCCCTAGGGGGGTTCGAGTGTGGAAAAGTAGAACTGCTCAGTGCCTCGGGGTCATGAAGGGATGAGAAGTGGGGAGTGGGGAGATGGTGTAGAGAGAGGGAGAGAGAGAGAAAAGTAAAAGAAGGAAGAGGAGTGCAGGCAGACTGGGGAGGGGAGAGGGCCAGGGAGAGAGGAAGTGTGAGGACAAAGCAACCCCAGGGCAAGCCTTTCCAAGGACCAAGCTCCTCCCATTAGGCCCCACCTCCTACGGCCTCCACCACCTCTCACCAAGGCCAGCTGGAGACCCGCCTTCCGTGCGCGAGCTTTTGGGGAACATTCCAGAGGCGCACCACACAGTGACTGCGATTACCGTTTCTCTCCTAGGGAGGTGGAAACAGGCCTAGGCAGGTACCATCACTTGCCACAGGGGACCACACCTAGCAAGGGGAGAGGAGGAGCGCTGCGAGCCAGCTTGCCAGTCCGCCTGACCGCGCGGGCTGTAAGAGGAGCCGGTGTCCCGGTCTTCTTCTGATACAGAGATGGTTCCGAGTGGGGGCAGGGTCACACAAATTTACCAGCTTGCAGTCTTTATCTAACTCCTAGGTATTTTTCTCTGCTAAAGGAGTTGTTTTAAAAATGACTGAAGGAGGCTTCTGCTTATCATCATTCGGCCTCTGCCAAAGGCATTTAATTTGTTTTTTCCATGTTGGTGGCTGAACACGCTGGGGAAATGTTCTATTAACCCCAGTCATTAGTGTCGGTTTTTAAAGCCTCGGGCCAGTTATCCTTTCGAATATGTGAAAATCATAAGAATTATGAAAAGCAGCTCTGCCATGGTTTCCTTCCAAGATATTCATATTTACTCTCCAGAAAATAATTCTGTGCTTATGGCAGTGTGAGTCTTGAGTTCTGGAGCGCAAGAAAAATTGCTTCGATGCCTGAATTCTCTCCAAGTTTAGCCCTAACCGACGGGTCTGCCTGGAACTGCGCTTTTCCTTTCCACTGTGGGCCTAACTTTTAAATAGCAGGAAAGGCCTGGTTTGAAGAGTGCTGAAATAACATCCCTATTATAATTTTTGGCATTTTACCACTTGGCAGTTTCTCTCCTTCTGCATATATTCTAGTTCTTTCTCCATAAACTGTAGTATTTTTAGGAGTGCACACCACACCCCGACTTCCTATCCACACCCCGCAGCACGACTTTTTTCCTCCCGAGGAAAGGCCTTTGTCCCCTCCGTGCTTCCTGGCCTGCTCCGCTTCTGGTTCTGTTTGCGGCAGAAACAAAGATTCCGCCCGCAGCGGACCTGAGGTCATCGCTCCTTGCCCTGTGCCGGGACACTTAGACACCCGGCCAATCGCTAACCTGTCTTTAAAAATCCTCCAATCAGAGAGGACGGGACACTTCCAGCTCGCACTATAAATGTTCTTCCCTATCTCTGCACACTCTTATCTCACCGTGCTATTTTTCCTTCACTCTTAATAGCATTTGCTGAACCTCTAGGCCTTCTTTCCCCGCTGAATTGGTGGGGGTCAAGTGACATTCAAACGGCCAAGACAGCGAGGTGAGTGCAGCTCTTGGAAGCCGGTGCCCTCCTTCCGGGGTGCACGCGAGGGACAGAGGGCTCCAGGGCTCTGCAGGTCCCAGGCATTTAATCCGCAGGGGCTGCGTCCCAAGCTAAGGGCACAGGCAATCCTGTCTGCAGTCTGTTTGCAGATAGGACACTAGAGGGCTCCCGGGGGCTAAAAATAAGTGCGAAGTTCTTTGAATGAAAGCTGATTGTGTATGGCCTTTGGTGTTTTCAGGATTTAAGATTAAAGTTTATTTTTAACCATATTTTTGAAAAAAAAAATCGCGTATGTCTGAAAACGATGCCGTAGGGTAGCCACTTTGCCAGTACTCATTCTGTTTTTGCCATCGGTAGTTTCCCAGGGTGTTTCTCAGGCTAGCTGAAGCGTCAGCACCGCGGAACCCTCCTGACCACGAAGTACGTTCTGCTCTCCGCCTCAGGGTGCGCAAGTTCTGCGCGTTAGAAGCCGCGGCTGCTTCCATTCCTCCCGGCGCTCTGTGTAAGTAACACTGCTTCTGAGTTTACTCCTCCTTTTAATAATGTGGAAAAATTGAACTACCGAAAGCAATTCTTTCACATTGTTTTCTCAGCTGACTCGTGGCGAATAAAAAGGAATAAAAATTAGTCGGCTGTGTGTTCTCTGAGTGTGTTTGTGATCGCATAAATGCAGCTGCTTTCGAGTTCTATCCTTATTTTTGGCTTTATAGCAGACTAGCATTTCATGTAAAATAATGAAACACTGTAGAGGTAAATCTGTAATGTTACATTATCAGACTGTGTTTCTCAATTTGAATCAATATGTGCTGCTTCTGCCCCTTTAGTTAATGCATGACTTTTTAAAAAATCAGGTGGGATAGAAATTTTTAAAAACCACCTATTAACTGTCGTATTTCTGAATTGCAAAAAGGAAAAGCCCCAGTTAGGCCACATAGGAATGCTACACTTCAGAATCAAGTTAAAAGATTCTAGCGGGAAGCTGGAAACATTCTTGGATTTCTGTGCGGCGTGCTTTCACTGCCCCTGTACTTTGAGCTGAGTTTGAAATCCACACCTCCGTCGTGCTTTCACTTTTTAGACATCTGATGTCTTCCCCATCTATCTCTCCTCTGCAGAGGTGCGGTCTGCGGAAGGACAGCGGCGCCGGGTCCCTCCGCGGCTGGAGGAGCTGCTCTGCGGCTGCGACTCGGCTGACTCTGTCCATTCATTCCCGGGGCTCGCGGAGGCCGCCGGCCGCGGACAGAGGCTTCCGGGCCGCCCCCGGGCCCCG